CCCCTCCAACCCTTCCATGTGAATCATATTATGCACACAGAATAGCGCACCCTCACGTTTGTAAATATACGCACCTCTCCGCTTATGTTTATAACATGTATTACATATACATACAGGTGAGACACATATTTTGCCGTATTGGTGTTTACAGATCTTATCGGCACAAAAGAAGTTGTTTATATTTGAAAATATTGCTAATATAAACCCGTGAGGTTTTCCCCGTATAAGTTTACGATTCATTGAAACAGCTCGACGCCCCCACTTCTACACCCACCAAACTTTCATTGTGTGTATGATAAATAGATAAGTACGGAACCCCGCAGATAGGGGTAGAGCAAGTCCATCTGATGTGGTCACTCGGTCCCGCAATCATCCCTTTTTAGAAGTGACGTAACTTTTGAAACATCACCATGGGGGGACTTCTGTGAACCCCCGGGAGTTTAGTTTACATACGAGCGGAAACAATTAACTGATGACAGACGCCCTCACTAATGGTCACTGGTCACTACGGTCCAGCCCGGCTACTTATCACCAAACGGTCAGGTTAACAGCCCGGAGTCACATACCCCCCGTGGTGTCAAATTACTACACACACGGCTCTGCTTACATATAACAAATTAATCATTTCCTAATTTACATAGGTTTAGCCCGTGGATATTTGGAGGACGGGCATGTAGACATCTGGCCGGTGGATACCGACCGAGTATCCCCCCAGGGGACCCTGGAGCATATCCGGTCGGAACCGACCAAGTACAGGCGCGGAGGGGAAAAACAAAGTACACATTATTTACGATATTTTCAAAAAATATATTTGATATTGTTAGAACAAATGTTTTTGCGTGAACTGTTGCTCCGCAAAGACATCTAATTACTGAGTGACGAGGTTTGTGGAATATGTTTCTGCCAAAATAACTACAGTATTTCTAAACCGTGTTACTCTTTTATTATCTATTAAATTTTAGCTCGTGCATTGATGTAATCAGCTAATAATTATATATTACAAGTAAAAAAAGGGGGGGGGGACTGATTATTTCATAAATATAGCAACCATTTTTCTACGAGTCGATAAACTTTCTGCGAACAACCAAGGAAGAAAAAAAGATACTGAACCATTACCGTTGATAAATTATACAAGAAATCGGTAACTACGTATCAGGTTAAATAGACACGGTGCACCTTGATTGGTAGATGGAGGAGGGGCAGTAAATACAACCGTTACTGTACAGCTCGGTCAAGGACACATGTTAAAACCGTCACCTGCAACTTATCATGGAAGATTATATGATAATTTATTGTTTACCACCTTACCTTAAAACAAAACATTTCCCCCATATATACCTATTAGATCTAGCTAGGCAGCCGGCCAGGGTGCTAGTCAAGCTTCGCCCATCTATTTTAAATGACATCGGAAGTATCTCGACGCAAAATTCGACATTGATGCATTGTGCTCTCTATTCACATTAAATGCAAGCTAACCATACTTATTGCGACATGCATTGTCCCGGGGGTTGGGTGTGATCTGTTGTGATCTACGAGGTGTTAGGAAGACCGTGTCACCACGGCGGAGGGACAGTCAATCACTCCCAATAAGTATGCATAGACTCCAGCTGTCAGAGGGGACGCACATACCTGTTATGCAATACGTCTTAGGCGATTTATGAATGGTTCTACTGATTCGAACTGACGTGCTCCAGATACTGTACTCTCTTACTATAAATAAATATAGACGATTCTTAAAACATGTACTACTTCCACTTATGATACGTCTCTGAGCATACCTAGATCCGACAGGTTCAAAGTAACCTCTAGCCGTTTGGGAATTCGATTTTATTCAGCCTCAGTGCACGATAAACGAAACCACTTAAATTGATAACCTTACCGCTGTGTACAAAACAGAGGAGTTCCGTCCGGATGTCTTGATAACAACCGGACATAATACTATCATGAACTACCATTTGTCCCGCTTTACATTTATAACAAACGTCATTAAACTTATTATTATTATTTAACCTATTTCTAATTGGCACGGTGCAACATCTACATATGTTTGTCCACATCACAAGTCGTCATGTTGTTGTTATTCCGTCCGAACGAGAACCAGTTTCTGTAGAATTCATACTTCCGGTGGTTGAGGGCTGCTGAAACTAACGTAAGGAGCAGATACAGCAATGACCCCGGAGGTCGAGGGCTGCTGAAACTGACAGCAATTACCCCGGAGGTCGAGGGCTGGTTTTGGTATTAAGCAGACGTACTTGTCGCCACACATACAAGCCGACTTAACTGTGACGGTTTTCGTAAGGTTAAACATCTCCACAATATTGAGTTATATTTCTAAGTTTTTCCAGTGTTAGTTTACAAGGGGGGACTAGGCTAACGCGTCGTATTGCGAGGGTTTCAAGCACAGCAGACGGTGATGTCTACATGCACTGCCTTACGTGCATGAGTACATGTATATATTAAAAATGTCTCTATGCATGATATATCATTCACTGCTTTTCTAAACGACGATACTAATTCTTAACTATCAAAATACATATTTAACCCAGAGATATATATAGCCAGTGTAGTGTTTTCATCTATTTCCAATTCATCAGTTCGCTCCCTACACCACCCACCATAACGCGGACATACAGAGTGTATAGTGACATATGTACACAAGAGAAAGGCAATATTTTCTCATGTTAGATCACATCGGATCGGATCCCGTATACTTGATTTATACAGTATATTGAATTGCAATCGGTAACAGTTATCGCCTCCAAATGTCAGACAGATTTTAATCTGGTCACATGCTCGGCTTTTATTACTTTTCTATTATAAAGAGTGTATTGAAACCGAAGAGAATATTTAAAAGTAATTGGAATATTATACATGTTGTCCGTTCAGGACACACGTATAGAAGTCTAGTGTGTGTTTAAAAGGTTCGTCTTTTTCTCAGGTCCGCTAAATTGAATCTCAGGGAAGGCGTATACCCTCTCACAAAATTACCCGATCGAGTAAGGCTAACTATCTCTGATCAAGATTTATGGAGTGTGGGGCAAGTATTAAACGACTCCCCTTACAAATTAGCAGGTGTAACAAAACGCTGGACAGCTGAGCATCCTCGGAACCAGCGGGGAATTTAGTATTTATTGCAAGTTAGATTGATTTTTTTTACTGAATTAACAGTGTATAAAATATGCGTTGGGACTTTTTGGTCGAATGTTTAGGAAGAAGAAAGAGATTGGAGTGGGGCAGCGGTGTTGGGGGAAGAGGGGGCTTGGAATTCAGGGTCTTACCATCCTTGTCCTTGGTCGATGTGTTGAGCTACGGAGTATCCAAACATACTTCCAGGTGTTCCGGTCCTGACGTCTGGAAACTCAACCTCCAGGTTAAATCCCCGCGTCGATCCAATGAGGAGTATCGCACATAAAAATACACAGGATAACACAATTTTCGTACACCTCAGCCTCGGTAACATATCGGCTCTACACAGAACACACATTGTATCCCACTCCGAGAACTAACTTCCAAAACTTTACACAATAAGAATATATCACAATTAACACTCGGTAAGAATATATATTATATCTCCCAAAACTTTGTCTTCCTTTGTTGATTCTAAAAATACATTTTTTGACGTTTAAGACGTTAACATACACATCTTGGTAGCTCCCAAACAGCTTCTGTAACCTACGGTTCTCTCTAGCACTCCATCGCCAAAACTTTGGGCTGGTTCATTCTGGCTTCAGTCAAGGGGTAGCAGCGTCTACTAGCTGATAGGTGCGATAAGCCAAATATAGGTAAGGGGGTTCGTTCGTGTAGCCGTTCGGATACGTCTCTGACTCATTCATAAAGAACACAGCATGCTTGAGAGGTGCACGTAACTTTTCCCGCTGTTTTGATACTTGTATGCGATATAGAGGATTAAAGTGTATATACGTTCCTTTGTACTATTTCCGGAGGCGACGTATACTGGACCAATGATATTAATAAAACTACGCCAAAGGTCATCACGCGTGCACGTGGCTCCGGTATCCTCGGTAGGGAGGAAGAATGAGGGATAGGGACGGTTGGAACATACATAAAATCATCCCCTTGTTTACATTAAAAATTGATTGATGGGCGAGAGGGACACAGTAGTGCACTACTGGTACATGTAGTGTATGTACGGGATTAGAGAGAGCCTCAAGGAGACTCTGTAGTGTTCGATCGCCCATAACTTTACATGTACAGACTATCAGACCGTGTATCGGGGCAGAACGTTATTGGCACGGGGATATGTCACATGTAATGTGATGCGCATTTCAGGTATATAGCATGCGGCTTATCCCTGTGGTAATAAGAACACAGACGATGATCGATTGAATTAAACTATGTATTAACAAAACCACTTTATGGTGAATTATTATGACAACATATAATTTGTATTATAATTTTACATTATTAAGGCGAAGCTTTAGATTTTCCATACAAAATATTCACTGAATTCACAAAAAAAGGAATGTGTTCATTACATTGTTTTGTAGCCACATACGGGAAAAGGTAGCATGCTGTCCTGCTGGCCTATAAACACCCACCCTTGATCGTGATTTAGACTTCATTTTACCTTGTGAATTCAAGCGGTTTTGAGTGTAGACGAGCAAACTTACAGATTTGTCAGCGACATATTTTCCCGATTATAGCAAAAAACAATTTTAAACGGGGCTACACGCTTGTTTAAATATAGAAAACAACTCTAACACGGGTTGAGTGATTATCTGCACTTTATACAATTATATATAACAGTGTAAGCTGCATGTTCGCCACAACCTACACATTGAATGTTATACCGAGTTAGTTGTGAAGTCGGTCGGTTACAGCCTTGCATTTACTGTTAACGCCCATGAGACCCAGTCGTTCAACATATTAAAGCGACTCAATTATTGAAATTATTTCAACTGTCCGAACTTTTTAAATGATTTTCCTAATAATGAATGCCAATTGTCCTTTTAATTTGAAATCTAGTCAATTCGTATTTGATAAACAGATCGCTATAGATATGCGTTTTGTAGCGGTTTTGTATCAAAGGGGGCCTCAATGTCAGATTTGACATTCTACTCATGAAACCATTCTCATGCTCAATCATGAATTCTGTGCACAAGTAAACATTTGAATAATACGGTAAAAAAAAACAAGTAAAAACATTGAAAACAGTATTCTACTCTAAGGTTCCCCATATTTCTTCCAAATCATTGACAAAATATTTTTTTAAAATTAATATATCACGAAAACAAGATATTGGGCTTGAGCACGAAATCTGAGTTTGGGCATGAGAATGGTTTCATGAACACGGGTCCAGGCCAACGTCCATCGATAGTCGTTTCCTTACTGAAATATATATTTTTAGTGGAAACTTAAAATTGTCTCATTTCATAAAGAAAGTTAGTTGAGTTTAAGTAAATTTGAGGGAATAACCAGTTTTGTAGTTTTTTTTGTTTTGTATGTTCTAGTTGTTTTACGTCCGGTTCATTACCGAGTAGTTCAGCAGATGAACAAGAAATATTTTGGAGACACAGTTCCTGATTATAACTTACTTCAAAATGTAATTTTCCCATACACTTCTTTCCTTCAGCAGCTATTTTTTACTACTCTTTCTGTAAATCGAGAATTTAGAGCTCTCATTTATTTGTCCAAAGTCTTATATTTTCTGTAACGATACATGACGCTAATTTTTCACTGCTATTTTGATATGCTTCTCAGAAAATGATATGATGCGATGAATTATGACGTAAAAACAAAAGATTTTATTTGATAAGCAAGCGGCTGAAAACGATTTCTGAACAATTCTTTCGTTCCCCGATGAGTGTCTGTGGTGCGCCGGGCATACGAATTAGTACCTTTAAGTTAACAATACTAAGGGTATACTTGGTTGGCATAAGGCAGAAAGATTTAAGCAAATCAAATATAACGCCTAGTCATACTCCTGATATATAATTTAAAAACGTTTTGTCTAGCCGGTGACGCATTTCTTTAAATGCCAACACATGAAACTTGTATTCGCCCACGACAGAGATAATATCAGCTAGTATGTGAGCGATTTGAGGAGTACAAACCCTGGATATTTTCGTTCCAAAAAATAACCCTTCTCACTATTTGGATTAATATAGCATGTTTTCTAAAGACGTGATATGTAATTAAAACAATTAACGACCTTTGTCTCAGCCAATGCGTTGTTATGTGGATATCGACATCGGACTGCGTCCTCGGTTAATATCACTCTGGTTTATAAAACATCGTATTGACCTCGACAAAGGTTAATAAATGATAAATATCAAATATTGTAAAACAAACATGCATCAGGCTGTATTTTGGTGACAAAACGAGGTCGTGTTATATCGTTAAACTATTAAGTGTGTGTGTGTTTTCACATACCGTAGATGTCTATCTCGTTATTTCTACACCCGCATTAGGAGGTAGGTTGGAGCACACCACACATTCCATTTTGTACAAGTGCGGGTAATACTATATACAATCAACGTAAATCTACATGTATATTTGTTTTCGAAGAATGAGTCAGTTTATCGCCCACAATAACATCACAACGCATACTTTTTATTTTATCTTGAGAAATACGAATATTTCTATTTGTTATTTTTTTATACTTCCTGTTATGCAAGTATCACGCTAGTAGCTTGATGATGTAATATGCAGACTTTTAACAACACACTGTACACCTCACCTTGTCATAATTTTTGTATTTAATTATGAATGCAGACCAGTATATTTTCCCGCAGTTGATAATTGCTGGGTTTTTTTCTTCTTCTTCTTTTTCGTCTTGCTATGTTTATTGTCTATTTATATATACAGAATATGGGTCAAAGAATTGCCCCATATATATACAGAATATATAGTCTTGAAGCTCGCAAAATGACAGTCAACAACGGTTAAGTAATATTTCTGACACTTACAAACAAATAAATCGCTTTGGCCACGAACGTACATACATGTATGTCCCTACTTTGGTACAGAAATTTTGTTTTTCGTTCGTATCACATATAATCACCACGCGTTCATAGAAAATTTTGTCATTGTGGTTACAATTGGTGTTTTCTTTTGTGTACAGGAAATTGTATTCTACATCCAGCTTTATCTTGCAGCATTCTTAAACATGACACAGAGCAGACAATTTCTTAACGAAGCTGAGTGTCTTATATTAAAGATAAAATATTGAGATTTTTTTTCCATTTATTGTTTATACAGTCACCCTCAAATATCCAAATATTACCTATCAGCGTTATTAATTTTGGAATATTGTATCTATTGCTAAATATCTAAAGGTACACTCACCAGTTTAGACGTGTGATACGTTCGTTTATGGTCAAAAACAGATTAAAAGATCGAGCAACGCAAATTCTGTTTAATTCCGTTGAAACGTCAAGTAGACAATGTTTTATGACAAATGTGTGGCCGCCGGTTAGGGCCTAATTACAAAAGTCATGCTTATAGCGTCACTAAAAATACATGAGGTCAAATCGTAGTCCTATAAACCCATTAAATTTTTAACGAGTATGCACTGATTAATTATTTACATGTATTGACGATGTTATAATTGTGTAGATTAAACTTATTTTCTGTACAGTACCCCACCCAAGTTGTGCGAATTACTATTGTTACTGTGCGTACTATGGCGCCGACTCATATTTTAGCAAAATCTCTTTAACATAAAACATGAAAACGGTTGTAATTGAGGCAGTCCCACATGCAAGTTGGCACTGCTTTTGCCTAGCTAGTTAACGTCTAAATTGTGATTACCGCTAAAACATACATTATTTCACAATTTTGAACATGTTCATGAGANGGGGAGGGCTAATAGTCTGCAATTATAATACATACATACATCCTTATCATTATTAATAATGTATGACAGATGATATCTGCCTCCAAAGCAACAGTAAGTATGTTNGGGGGGGGGGGACTGATTATTTCATAAATATAGCAACCATTTTTCTACGAGTCGATAAACTTTCTGCGAACAACCAAGGAAGAAAAAAAGATACTGAACCATTACCGTTGATAAATTATACAAGAAATCGGTAACTACGTATCAGGTTAAATAGACACGGTGCACCTTGATTGGTAGATGGAGGAGGGGCAGTAAATACAACCGTTACTGTACAGCTCGGTCAAGGACACATGTTAAAACCGTCACCTGCAACTTATCATGGAAGATTATATGATAATTTATTGTTTACCACCTTACCTTAAAACAAAACATTTCCCCCATATATACCTATTAGATCTAGCTAGGCAGCCGGCCAGGGTGCTAGTCAAGCTTCGCCCATCTATTTTAAATGACATCGGAAGTATCTCGACGCAAAATTCGACATTGATGCATTGTGCTCTCTATTCACATTAAATGCAAGCTAACCATACTTATTGCGACATGCATTGTCCCGGGGGTTGGGTGTGATCTGTTGTGATCTACGAGGTGTTAGGAAGACCGTGTCACCACGGCGGAGGGACAGTCAATCACTCCCAATAAGTATGCATAGACTCCAGCTGTCAGAGGGGACGCACATACCTGTTATGCAATACGTCTTAGGCGATTTATGAATGGTTCTACTGATTCGAACTGACGTGCTCCAGATACTGTACTCTCTTACTATAAATAAATATAGACGATTCTTAAAACATGTACTACTTCCACTTATGATACGTCTCTGAGCATACCTAGATCCGACAGGTTCAAAGTAACCTCTAGCCGTTTGGGAATTCGATTTTATTCAGCCTCAGTGCACGATAAACGAAACCACTTAAATTGATAACCTTACCGCTGTGTACAAAACAGAGGAGTTCCGTCCGGATGTCTTGATAACAACCGGACATAATACTATCATGAACTACCATTTGTCCCGCTTTACATTTATAACAAACGTCATTAAACTTATTATTATTATTTAACCTATTTCTAATTGGCACGGTGCAACATCTACATATGTTTGTCCACATCACAAGTCGTCATGTTGTTGTTATTCCGTCCGAAC